ACAGACCCTATACATAATGTTACACGACTCTGGGTCATGTACCGCCTTCCACTGGGCTGGGTCGTGTGTTTCCTGCTTGATGCAAGACAGTCTCTTCCAAACATGAAGATGGGAAGCATCCATTACATGATAATATTTTGACATATGTTAAAGTTGAGCAAGCTGACAAACAAAGAGGTTTCAGAGGGATTACAAAGTGACAATCAACTAGTTACACAAATCAACTAATTAAGCCAGTTAAAACTAGTTGTCAATCAACTAAATGAGTGAATCTACTTGTTCCGCCAATCAACTAATTCAGTGAATCTACTTGTTCCGCCAATCAACTAATTCAGTCAATCTACTTGTTCCGCCAATCAACTAATTCAGTCAATCTACTTGTTCCGCCAATCAACTAATTCAGTCAATCTACTTGTTCAGTTCATCAACTAAATGAGTCAATCTACTGGTTAAGCTGATCAATTATGTCAATCAACTGGTCAATTCAATGAATTAATTAAGTCAATTTATTAAGTAAATCAACCAATTGATTCAATCTAGTAGCTAATTGAGTCAATGAAGTGCGTAAGCCAACTGAGATCAAATCCTGTTCCTACTCATGACATATAATAATTTTGATACCAGGTGACATAAGACAACCATGTTTTTTCACACAATATACATCAACATCAGGAAGCCAGAATCGTACAAAAAGTCAATCAGCAGCAGCAGGGTTCGTTTCCCTCAGAATGTTGTCAGTTTACCGAGCCTGTCACGTAGTCTGCACCAGATTAACAAATTACATCTACACTATGCGTTCAGCCCGAAAAAACTCGTCAAAACAACATTATACAAACAATTAACAATCCCCACACTTCGTGCAGAGGCGTTTAAATAGAATTTCCAAATGACACTCGTCGAAGGCAGCAAAAACGGTAAAAAAATGCAAGTCTCTCGGCAAAAAAATAGCCTTGTCATTGACATTTTAAATGAACTAGAGAACAGAAATTCCTTCACGCACAAGAATAGATCTTGAATTTAAATGCAAATTGTTTCCACCTCAAGCTGCGGTATTAACAATGTTGAACATTTCAAGCCTAAATGCCACAATTTCTATTTTAAATACAGTTTTGTCACTATGAGTGTAAACTACATGGAGTAAATGATGTCAGAGATTTAAATTCAGTTCTGGGTACTTGTAAATGTTGATATTAGGGAACTAGTGTCTGCAACTTTACAGCCATTGTACATCAGGCTTTGATTGCACACATCACAATCAAGGGTCAATATTTTGTCTCTGCTTCAAAAACTGCAGTCTAGGATGTTTTGTTTCAAATGTTTTTAATAATTCTTAAACTTTTTCGGTATTTTTTTTTATACATTTGTGCTTATGGCGGTGAGACAGCATAAAAAATCTGTAAAGTTGGTTTAGGAGACTGGTAAAACAAACTCGATTATATTCAAACAGTGTTGATAATTTCCCGACTTTTAGATTTAACAAAACAAATGAGAGGGAAAACATAACAAATAAATATTTGTTCACCGGGAGAGGTTGAACTAAATTGGTTCAACTTTCAAAGATTTTCAGAATCCATGGGCACATTTGCCTAAGAATTCTGCTTTCACACCTTAAACATAAAAAATGTGACTTTATCTGTAAAAAAAATAGTAAAAAACACAAAAAGTGCCTGACGCAAATCCATGATAACATACAAAATTATATCTGTCCACTGGTTTAAAATAGAATTAGAATTTGGTTAATTAACACAGCTTTTCCAGTTAGTTTGATATTCACATAAGCACAGAAGAATAAAGTTATTTTTCAAGCTTATGGGAATTGATTTTTCTTTCTGAAGACAGGAAGAGTTATCTCCCTTACACAAGCATGCAACACCAATCATTATTAGACAGTTGAAACAAAAATTCCCATTAAATCTCTTTTGGAGCATATACTGTTTGCTGTCAGCTATTAACACTGAATAATATTTCCCCAAAACATAGAAACCATTTATGACACTATCTTGTCAAACACAACAGTCATAAGTCAAACATTTTACACTGCCTCCACCAATTAACTCATGACAACAAAACAGATCAAGGGAAATAACTCTTGTAGCACTCCTGTTCAACAGCAAAGACAGTTGTCAGAAAACACAGACCAATGTGCTGAAGTTATGAAAATGGTTGGAGTTCAGAACAAAATGTAACTCTGGCTACCAGTACATCCATGAGGCCAGATGAATGTTCACAATATGTTTCATGGGCAGATTAAGTTTTTTTGAAAAGGGGGGGTGCACAATTAAGATCTATTTATTGTCTTTGGTGGTAATTTATACAGAAATAAAGATTTTTTTCGAAATAAAAAGGGTGTGTGTGCACCCCCCCCCCCCCCCCCCCTTTGTATCCGCCCATGTGTTTATAGTCTTCATTTCCAATCAGATTGCCCAAAATGTTTGAATATTTGAATATTTGAAAACGTCCAAACTCAGCAGTTTTGACAAATTTTAACCCAATGTGAAAAAATAGAGTCTCATACTCATTCAAATGAAACATCTGTAAACTGTCAAAAGTTTTGTTCATTTCTAGCGTATCTAGCAGGCTAAAATAGGTCCTTGTCGTATCTCACCAATTCTAATATACTCAACTAGTGCATGTTTCTGATTATATTGCATTACAGTATGTTATGATTCAGAGGAGAAATATTTTCCTTATGAGACAAGGAAATAAATGTAACCAGATTTCAAAAAGGTTGTAGTCTTTGTCTCTATTTCAAAATCAGTTTCAAATCCAGTATTAACAGTTCATGATCATGATAGTCATAATAATGTAAACAGTAACAATATCATAAGAAATGTTCTGGATCAATTTCTGTTGGAATCATCAGGTCACTCAGTTTAGGTTTTCAAACAATAAAACCTTGTAAATCAAGACACCTCCATTCTGGGCCAATCATTCACATTTAGGACATTTCAAGACTAGTAATCAATACATTAGAAGAGGAAAGGTGAGGTGAAATGGGGTTAAACACCGCATTCAAGATTATTGCACTTATATAGCGACGTACATTAGGTTGTTTGTTGTTTAATGCTGCACTCAGCAATATTCCAGCTATATGATGGCGGTCTGTAAATAATCAGGTCTGGACCAGACAAGCCAGTGATTGATATCATGAGCATCGATCCACGCAATTGGGAAACAATGACATGCATCAACCAAGTCAGCGAGCCTGACCACCCAATCCCGTTAGTCGCCTCATACGACAAGCATAGTCTCTGATTATAAGTTAGATAGGTTATGACACTTAAAATTTCATTTTGCGTTTTGATTTTTTTTGTCACAGCTATGTGGTCACTGATAATAGTATCATGATCATCGATCTATGCAATTTGGATACGATGACATGCAGCCTGACCACCCGATCCTGTTAGTCATCCCTTACAACAAGCATAGTCGCCTGTTACGGCAAGAATGGGTTGCTGAAGACCTATTCTCTACCTGGATCTTGACAGGTCACATATATTAGGAGAGTGAGTGAGTGAGTGAGTGAGTATGGTTTTACGTCGCTTTTAGCAATATTCCAGCAATATCACGGCGGGGTACACCAGAAATGGGCTTCACACATTGTACCCATGTTGGGAATCGAACCCGGGTCTTTGGTGTAACGAGCAAACGCTTTAACCACTAGGCTACCCGACCGCCCCAATTGGAAGAGAGTTGAGTTCTTGTTTCTTCATCAAACTGAAGTGTGATGACAGTAGACAGATGATAATTATCAACTTACAGTGTCAACAAATCAAATAGAAATGCCTTACCAGGATACGCTGATTGACAATAATGAAATAGATGTTCACTGGGCTTAATAATGCATGGAAAGTTAGTTAATGGTTCTGATTGCTAGATAAAAGGATTCAATTGTTTTAGCATTATGAGATTCCAAATGTGTTCAGGTGGAGAAACATGTTTTTGGATTAAACAATCCTTTCCACCAAATATTGCCTAAAATGTATAATAATGGTTTGTCTTGTCTTGTGTTTAACTCCACAGATAGCAATATTCCAGCCTGAAAATAATCCAATCTGGACCAGACAAACCAGTTAATATTATGAGCATGTATGTCACACAGTCACCAGGCCTGTCAACTGTAACATTTTGTCTCCTCAAATGACAAGCATAGGTTGCTGGGCATCGATTCTAACCCGGAATCCCTACAGGGTGAGTCAACTGTAACATTTTGTGTCCTCAAATGACAAGCACAGGTTGCTGGGCATCGATTCTAACCCGGAATCCCTACAGGGTGAGTCAACTGTAACATTTTGTGTCCTCAAATGACAAGCATAGGTTGCTGGGCATCGATTCTAACCCGGAATCCCTACAGGGTGAGTCAACTGTAACATTTTGTGTCCTCAAATGACAAGCATAGGTTGCTGGGCATCGATTCTAACCCGGAATCCCTACAGGGTGAGTCAACTGTAACATTTTGTCTCCTCAAATGTTACATCGTTCAGCTCATGCGTGACTTGAAGTTGGCGTCACCTTATCACGATTCAACTCATCGAGTGTGACCAGCCGATCCATTAAATAGCCTCATTAAATAGCCTCATTAAATGGCCTCATTAAGCAGCCTCATCCAACCAGCATTGCTTGCTGAGGACACGTTCTAACCAGGAATCCTTACAAGGATGCAGGATTTGGACTTCTTGGCACTCATTCTACATCTACCAACAATTCTTACCTGCATCTCTGAGGTCTTCACCAGGCGTCTCAGCAGCAGACAATTCCACAAGATTTGAGTGAGTGAGTGTGTTGGTTTTATCCCCCTTTTTGCAATATTCCAGCAATATCACAGGAGGCACACCAGAAATAGGCCTCACACACTGTACCCATTTGGGGAATCAAACCCAGGCCTTCAGTGTGACGAGCAAACGCTTTAACCACAAGACTCACCCATCACCCACAAGTTTTAAGTGAACAAGGTAAAGGACTGAAGGGAAACTAATCACTGTAAGATGGAGCACACATACCTTCATCATCAAATGCATCGAAGACACCCTTGAGAGGGGGGCGCTTCCTGACAGGGGACTGTTGGAGTGAGTTGAACTGGGAGGGGTCATAACCACTGTCCAGCTCACTGTCGGCTGTAATAAAAGTTGAAATGGGTCAATTGTGACAATACCCAATACATTTGTAAACCTTCATGAAAATTATTACAAAAATGTAACTTTGCAAATTGTAAGTGAAAATTAAGTTTGCTAGATAATATGAATACTATGGTTGATTTGGTATGCATACCATACATATAAGTACAGTGATCCCTCGCTATTTGGCTCTTCGATAAAGCGCTACCTCGGTTACTACGCGCGGTATCGCATGACTCCCAAAATTTATGTACACTTTTAATACTGAGAGTTTTACACAGACATGATTGTATTGTTGTTCGTTGTTCATTTGCACATTACGCTTCTCATTGCATAATCAACCGTTTATCGCTGAATGGAGTTCTAATAATCTTTTTGAAAACATCTGCGGCAAGTCCCGGAAATATGATTGTTCTACTAGTTAACTTTTCACACTATACATCCTTTGATCTTAGAAGCGCATTCATGCAATAAAAGAGAACCACAAGCGAAGTTTATTTTCTTAATTAGTGGGCAATCCAATTTGAGGCGACACTGTCAACTCACATGTAGTTGCTGTCACAACACGGCGGTCATTCCTTTTGATTCGGATCAAGTAACTGTATCAAACCAATTAATCTGGCTTGAATGTGTATCTATATTTGCATGAATGTGTATGAATGTGCGTAGTGCTAGTCAAAACTCTCGTTTTCCGTATTTTAAGCAACATGACCAATCAATGCCACTGAATCACTCTGTACTTGTGTCATGAATTGTGATTGGCTCTTCACTCATAGCGTCTGTTACTACCATTATCGATCGATATTTTCATGTAAGTAGACTACATTCACATTGAATGTGACAGTTAAGGCTTGTAAATAATAACAAACAGCGAAAACATAATGGATATATATTTTTACACTATGAACGGTTAACAACTTGTATCATTGCAATGTGCGAGACAAGGCGAAGATCGTGAGATTGGCCGAGTGCGCTCCCCCGCCTCGGCCTCAGTTAAACGGCTCATTGTCTATAACGCCCACCAATTATTTGGACCCCATTGGTAGCACTGTAGCGAGGGACCACTGTACTTGACAAAAATTTTAATGAATACTTTCGAATTATTATTTTGCAATAAATCTAAAAATGTATTTATTTACAATATCTGGATAACTGTGATTATTAAAAAAATACTATCACTCACAATATATTGACACTGAAAAGATTTGAAATAACATGTTTTGGTAGTTTCAAGAATTTGTTTTTAATTAAAGACAGAATATTCTTTTTTGTGATAGCCTGATGGCAATTTGCTCCTTTTCATTGTTGGCTTAAAACAATCATTGATGTGGCTGTTCAAGTATTTTGTAGAACACACCCACATACCCTTCCTACAAAGACAGAATGTTTTCCTAAAATACAACCTAAGAGGGACTAAAAAGAAAATAAATTCTTAGCTTACTGTAAACATTACTAAAAATGACTCAATTAATCTTAAAATCAGAAGAAACTACATGACTGAAATATATCTATATTCCTTTATTGGAGTGGTCAGAAATCAAAGCCGTAAAGAATAGAAAAGAAGAAACATTTTAACATGTTTTAGAAAAATAAGTCAAGAAAAAATGTGGACAGTACATGTATTCTAAAAGTACACCCCCCCCCAACCCAAATCAACAAATCAAGGGAGGTAACACACACACATATACAGAGCTCATTATGTTTGTTGGTAGATCCCCTATCAACCATACACTATAGTGAGCGAGGTTTTAGCAATATACCAGCAATATCACGGTGGGGGACACTTTAAATGGGCTTCACACATTGTATCCATTTCGGGAATCGACCCCGGGTCTACCTGACAGACCTCCCCACCCCAAACCCACCCCACCCCACCCTGTACACAATAAGCAGCACATGAATCTGAACAGAATCACTATCTCTAACCATACCGATATTTTCTGTGTTAGATATCATAAGTCCAAGACAAAAACATGGATACAATTGTATCCCGCAGTGAAAAATATAAATTCATTACTTTCACTCTGATTTTGCCCACACACATACGTTGAGCGTGTGCAGTATTATGTGTTTGTAGTGAATATTTCATACAATTACCACACAGATCCCACACAAGTTAATGCACAAAGGTGAATTTTTGCCACTTTCCAAGCCTCGTTTACAATGCATATTTCATGTTGCTAAGCATGCAACGATATTGATTTGTAAAAAAACAAAAACAGAAAGGCTTCCGGAAGAGTTGCTGTCAATGACTATCAATAATAAAATAACAAGGTATTAAATGACCCTGTAATCTTTCTGATAACTCAGTTAGGTAAAATAAAACTCTGGATTATGTTCATGCTCTTGTGATGCATCAAGCAAAACTGTATTATAACTATTACACAATGTATCGAGTACGTACAAGACCTACCCTACTATTACACAATGTATCGAGTACGTACAAGACCTACCCTACTATTACACAATGTATCGAGTACATACAACACCTACCCTACTATTACACAATGTATCGAGTACGTACAAGACCTACCCTACTATTACACCATGTATCAAGTACATTCAACACCTACCCTACTATTACACAATGTATCGAGTACATACAACACTACCCTACTATTACACAATGTATCAAGTACATACAACACCTACCCTACTATTACACAATGTATCAAGTACATTCAACACCTACCCTACTATTACACAATGTATCGAGTACATACAACACTACCCTACTATTACACAATGTATCAAGTACATACAACACCTACCCTACTATTACACAATGTATCGAGTACATACAACACCTACCCTACTATTACACAATGTATCAAGTCCATACAAGACCTACCCTACTATTACACAATGTATCAAGTACATTCAACACCTACCCTACTATTACACAATGTATCAAGTACATACAACACTACCCTACTATTACACAATGTATCAAGTACATACAACACCTACCCTACTATTACACAATGTATCAAGTACATACAAGACCTACCCTACTATTACACAATGTATCAAGTACATACAACACCTACCCTACTATTACACAATGTATCGAGTACATACAACACCTACCCTACTATTACACAATGTATCAAGTACATACAACACTACCCTACTATTACACAATGTATCAAGTACATACAAGACCTACCCTACTATTACACAATGTATCAAGTACATACAACACTACCCTACTATTACACAATGTATCAAGTACATACAACACTACCCTACTATTACACAATGTATCAAGTACATACAACACCTACCCTACTATTACACAATGTATCGAGTACATACAACACCTACCCTACTATTACACAATGTATCAAGTACATACAACACTACCCTACTATTACACAATGTATCAAGTACATACAACACCTACCCTACTATTACACAATGTATCAAGTACATACAACACCTACCCTACTATTACACAATGTATCAAGTACATACAACACCTACCCTACTATTACACCATGCAAATAGTACATTCAACACCTACACTACTATTGCATCATGCAAATAGTACATTCAACACCTACCCTACTATTACACCATGCAAAGAGTACATCCAACACCCACCCACCCAACGATTACACCATGCAAAGATTACATTCAACACCCACACAATTATTACATCATGCAAAGAATACACATTCAACTACAGCTAACTTAAGTTTATCTGACAGAACATCAGGCAGGATTCTCCTTGAATGTCAACTCATTTTACCAGAACGCAAACATAAAGTGATACACTTCAACTCAATAAAGATGCAACTCCTAAACCTACCATCAATACCATTTTATTAATAAGGTGGTCATCAATAAATCTTGATTAAACATTTCTCCATATCACCTACTGGTCCGGGAGTGACTCACGCTAAGACTCGATACTGGTATGATTTAGTGACTGAAGAAAGCCTGCTTCAATAGCTCAGTGAAATGTACAACTACGCTTATGAAATGTACAACGCCGCTTATGAAATGTACGACTGGGTTTCTGAAATGTACAATACTGCAGCTGTCATCTGAAGTGTCTTAACACTGACATAAATAATTCCACTGATAGATACACACAGCTGATCGGCCAATAAAGATATTGATCCTCCTGATCCAATGTGGTCACAATGACTTTTATTTAAGTCAATATTCCTTGAAAGACAGACACATTTCAGAATAATGACAAATGTCTAACAAGGTCAGTGGGAAAAGAACGACTATTATCCATGTCGATTGCTTTGACATGTTTGTGTATTGCAACTCCTACGTAGATATCACACTAATAAAAGGAGAAAGAGTTTGGTTCAGGATGTGTGGGTTGTACAGAGCCTTTTTAAAAAAATATTTCTTTAATGTTTCGAAATTGACATCAACATGGGTGGGGCTCAGTTTGATTGATTTTTCTAAAAGTAAACCAACAACAAAGTCAAATGCCATAAACATATGTAATCAAGAAAGTGCCTCCATCTTTATCTTTGAACTCGATTACATCCAATTTAAATTCTGAATCCCTCCCTTTGTTTAAGGAACCATACTGTGAATTACCTACGTTCAGTTTACATATCTGTCTAGATTACTTTTGTGAAAGAAAATTAATCATTCACTTTGTGTGGTTTACAAATAAATTATTATTTGTAAATGTGCACTTTAGGCACTAGAGTCTGGTTCCACAAAGTGATAGTTACAATCACCTTAGCACTACGATCGTCGTAAATCTATGTCACAGTATGTCACTTTTGCGCTACACTTGTTGTAGGTCTGTATTAAACCATGGGAGTTACGATCACCTTAGTGCTAAGATCATTTTGTGAAAACGGGGTCCACGAACATATTGTGACAATACCGGTACCTTTATGAATTTATCTATCCCAATGCCACTCTAACACACAAGATTTGGAACCTTGACATTTGAAACAAATGCAACAAAACAGACAGCAACAAAATAAGGAAACAAAAGAGACTCACCTGAAAACTAAAATCAGAAGAAGAAAAAAATGTCTCCAACTAAAAAGATGCCCCATGCAGTTTGCATCATGCATAGAACCAGAGGATGCAGGAGGGAATAAAATGTTGGCCAAACTTACATCCACTAGCTGGGATTGTTTCTAACTCTGTTGGCTGCAGCATCGACTTACACTGGCTTCCTCCCTTCCTCTTGTACAGGGACCTCACCACCTTGGCGCTGCCGAAACGCTTGAAGCGCTGGCTCACATGGCAGTAGAACCATTCACATGACTGTAGCTTCAGTTCCCTGCAAATAATGAAACATATGTCAGCAATCTTGACCCCAGTGAGGATTCGGGGTTAGAATTGGTCCCAAGTAGTCTATGCTTGTTGTATGAGGTGGTTTATGGATTGGGTGGTCAGGCTTTGTTACTTGGTGGATTGTGAATCATTGTACCCCATGGAGAGGTATGTTGCTCATAATATTAATCACTGGTTTGTCTCGTTTAGACGTGATTATTTACTGCCTGCAGTCATAGAGCTGGAAAACTGATAAACAAAACAAAAACAAAATTAGAGGTATTGAGTGAATGATTTGGGGTTTTTCACAGTTTAAACAACATTTTAACAAAGAATGATGGAAGTCGTTGATGATTGTCCCTTCAGTGAAATTAACCCTTGAACATGACCAAGGATCTTAACTGGGGCACTTTTAACCCCTAATCAGAAGATCCTGGCACCACAAAGGGATGCACAGTGAGTTTTGTAACCTTAGACCACAAGGCCATCCTTATAGTAGTGCACTATTGTGGCTCAATACCATGCTTGATTTGACTGCAATATTAACCACACACACTTTACAATGTGATTCTCCCAAGAGGGCTGACACTTGATGATGAACTTTACCAAACTTTTCAAATTGATTATTTTGAAACCAAATATGATGGGTGAACCCCCATGAGGGGAACAACCTGATATTTCAAAAACTGAATCACCAGACCTTCCATTGTCAATACTTCATGGGGATGCATGTACACTACATTCTTTAACCACCTATGGAGTCACGCGGCCAATACATAGGGAGCGTGTCTTGGACAAGTAATGAAATGAGGCATGGAAATCAAATGAACCATACACTGTGCTTGATTTTTGTGTGAACCATACCGTTGCTTTATATTGAAACATTGTGTAGAACAGATGTCCACGAGGCTCTGTCACAATTTCAATTTCAGTAAAATCAGAGCTTAATTCTCGCTACTACTAAACAAAGATCTGAGGACATCCCATTACAGGTCACGTCTGAACGACCTTTAATCCGACCAATCAGAGTGTAGCTTTCAAGATCAGGAAAGTGACAATCTGAATGTGTTTTCTAATCGTGCCACCTCATAAGTTCTAGCGCAGTGTATTCCAAATGACAGTTATGGGCTTTAGGACTGAATCCATACAATCTAGCCCATCTTTTGGCTTTTCCATAATTTCTTTTGTTCAGTTTTCAAATTTTGAATTGAGAATTTGTCAAAATATGGTTCGAAATGTAGTCGCCAGTTTGAAACTAGTGCCATAAAGCACAAGAAAGCTGCCTTTTGATTGGCTAATGTTGACTTCTTGTCAGTCATTCCACTGGTTGGTCAAAGTTCACGAAAGGTCAGTCTGACGTGATCCAGAATGGGATGTCTCCAGATCTTTGTTTAGCCATAGCAAGAACTAAGAGATGATTTTAATTACATTGTGTGTGTGTGTGGCTCTGTGCATTGCTGTCTGTGTGTGTGTGCGTGTGCATGTGCGTGTGTGTGTGTGTGTGTGTGTGTGTGTTTGTTTTTCTCATTTCTCAGGTCACCTGATGAATACATATTCTGCAATCCCAAGAGAACATTTCCTATCCAGATACCCAAAGGTCACAGACTGTAAACTATGAATGGAATCAATACATGAATGTTTGTGTCATGCCACTTGCACAACTGGCACAACCTTAGACTGACATTTCAATTTATTGTCGGTTGCGGATAACAACTTCATATTTTTCATTTTTGATAATTTCTTTTACAGTAAAATAATTTAAAAAATTGTTATCCATAAAATGTGTCTACATTGTCCTCTCTTATCACTAAAGAGAAGGGATTGGAAAAAAAGAACCTTAAACTCATGTCAATACTGCCTGCCTGTTTCTAATCCATCTCAAGACAATAGGTGCAAGAAACTTTTTCTGTCTTGCAAACCCAAAGTGGAGAAAACCTGAACCAGAAAAACCAGTTTCAGAAGAAACATTTTGACCCTGCCCATTAATGTGTTCAAGTGCCCAGGGGCTGCATCTCGACCTCTTTTCATTCCCTCATCCAATGAAGTGAAGGATATGTTGTCTTTCATTCAATGTCAGTCAGGAGAACTCTTTATTTCTCAATTACCCAAAATCATAATATCTCTTTTCAGATGAGCAAAAGTCGGGGTTTTTTGTTGATGAGTACATTGAACAAGTGAAAGCATTCAACCTTCAGTCCTGATGCAGATCCGTTCATCAGTTATAATGGGTCAGAGCTAAGGAAAGAATTTATACTTTATTATTTCATTATTTATAACCAATGTCTGCCTGAGTCACTGGAAATATGCCCAAGCCTAACCTTGACTACCCTCTTTAAGATAAGCATGAGGCATTTGGAGCCATTTTTTTCTGAAATGCCTGCTTTGATATTAAGATCAACACACAGGGAATCTAACCAAAGACAAACTCAAGACTCCAACATCCTTGTCTGAGTTCTATAAGGAGGTATACAAGCATCCCTACCTCACTTAGGGGTATCTTCAAAAATCCTTTGCAAAAATGTTACCCAACTAATTTCCACAAGGGACACTACTCTAATTGAATATGACCAAAGAGAGATAACTCCACAGACCTCTCCTTGATGCACTGTTCACATGAGTATCCTTTAAGCTTGTCCTCATACAGGCTGCAGGACTTGCACACGAAATACCCGCACATTTTGCACTCCTGTTTTCGGTTGAAGATGTATCCGAAAGTACGACAACAGCGAATGCAGCAGTTTTTGTTGAATTCATCTTGCTGAGTGAGAATGGATGTCTTGTCTTCCTCCTTACGAACAACTTCTTCGATTTTGCTGAAAAAAAGATATATTTGTTCTGAGTTAATACAACACTTCTCTCATGTAAAGCCTAGAGGAATACCACATTTATAACTCAGCACACATTGAGGCCAATAGAACATAAGTTTAATTTACTTCAAATGGACATGAAAGAAACAATGTATTTAATGCTAGGTGATCTATACATCTAATGAGTGAAATATCACTGGTATTGATTTTAAGTCAGGACTGAATTTTGCAAACTTCAGGAAAGATGTACTAATATCTATCAATGGCACTGATCATTTTTACATATCTAAGTTAAATTTGTGACTTTTGAATAAAGTGTTAAAACTGAGGGCACCAACTGAGCCTAGAAACTGCAAACAAAGAAATTATCCTTAACAAGAAAGGTTTCAACAGAATAAATGGTCTTAAAACACATACAAATATAAAATACATTATCAACCTTTGCAACATAAAAAAAAGTCAAGTTTTGTCAAGGGCTTTTGATAGAAGTTAATGCACTAAGCACAAATCAATTCCTTGAAAAAGACACAGTCCTCTGATAGAAAAATTCATCTCATAACTTTTCATTTCTAAAATGATAACTTTGTCAGATTAGTAATATTTTTACAACTTATCCCATTATTATTTCTATATCTTACCATTGCTCCCAAAATATAAATTTTGGGTGGGGCATAATAAACATTCTCAGAAGTATATGTAACTGAGTCTTGCAGATAACCACACATGGACATAGCCTTGCCAAATGTAATAGACCCAAAACTGCACCCTGTCACACAACAGGTTTTAACAAAGATTGACTTAAGCATTGTGTAACTGGCATGCTATTTACATCAAGCCTTGTACCACGGCTAATGCACAGTTGTGGTCAGTGAACTGTGGCACGAGTACCCTGACGAGTAATTGTCGTCAACAGGTATTGAGTAATCTAGGTTATTGAAAACTCATTGAGAAGAGATTTGTGTGCCCTGAGTGGGATTCACAGGTGAATGGCTAGGATTAACTTTCAAGAAGGTTCTTGGCCTCACAGCTATGGAAAGCTGGTAGAACCAGTTTATCGAGGAACTGTTATGGTTAATGTCTGAATACCTGTGCTTTTGAAACAGTCAGGTGTGAAGTTTTCAGACTTGACCATCTGAACTGAAGAGGTCAGGGAGCTCAAAAGGTCTTGGTTGATTAGTGTCTATTTGTAAATGTTTAATTTCGCTTGGTATTCAGAGACCGTGTCGGCATATGGCCTCTGGTTTATTGGAAGATTTATCTTATTTGTGATAGTTTAGCAGATTCATTGTACCCATTTGTGGAAATCACCATTGTCATGAAAAAGGCAGGTAGCAAGAAGGTCCAGAAATCAAAGGGTCTTTCAGCCCCTTCTCTCAAATGGGGTCATGCTACAGAATTCTTGTGTGGGGAGTGGTCCTTCATAATAAGGGGGTCCTCCACAAGTGTTCATGTTCATGTTCATAGCCATAGACATACAAAAATTATTTTCCTAAGATTTTGTAACTAACCATTCTAAACAAATATTCGGGAGGAGGGGGGGAATTATTATGCTTCTGGCCATTGGAGAAGAATAGAAATTAAGACATATGACATTTCTTTTAACCTTCTACAATGTACAACATATCTGCATAACCATTATTGTTGAAAAGTGTTTAGTTTCTAATGTGTTGAATGTCAAAGCTTTTATTCTTTCCATATTAAACATGTTATTAACATACTTCTTGAACTACACTATGAAGCATGGTGGAACATCACTTTCCTACACACCTCAATTATTAAAAAAACTGAACATCCAGAAGTCTTTTGGTTGGTTGGTTTGTTGTTTACCACCGCACTCAGCAATATTGCAGCTATATGACGGCGGTCTGTAAATAATCGAGTCTGGACCAGACAACCAGTGATCAATATCATGAGCATCGATCCATGCAATCTGACAACCAGAGCCCGTTAATCGCCTTTTGCGACAAGCATAGTCACCTTTTACGGCAAGCATGGGTTGCTGAAGACCTATTCTACCCCGGAATCTTCACGGACGGGTCTCCGGAAGTCTGAATCGGACTAGATTCATCTCACGTGTACAAAAACAAGGGACACTGTTTCCATGTATTGTACACAATTGGTGATTCATTGGTTGTTTCAGCATATTTATTAAGAAAACACAATATCTCATATGAGACTGACATTCAACGTGATTACTTTAACGTAAAAATATATTGGAATGAAAGCAATCAGGGTAATAATCTTGGGTCTTCAAATTTCATTCATGCCAGCAGATCATTGTGCGCTGGCATCAACAAACGATCCAGTTTTATGTCTATTGGACTATTTTGATCACAACATATGATCAAGATCCGTAAACCAGATTCCTGGATAAAATAGTAAATTATATACCGGTAGTATCTTTTGTTATTACAATCATCTGGTAATGATACAGTGTTTTAATATATTTAACTATTTTGGTAACAAATATGATAGAGATCCTGAAACCAGATTCCCAGGTAAATTAACAATCTAATATGTTGTTGTTGTTTTTTCAATTTATGTCATCTCGATCCATGATTCAGTTTTAAGTATATCTAACTATTTTGTTTTTATTGTAATTGAAACAATTGCACAGGCTTGGTGCAACAATGGCCGGCAAGAACAGGCCCTGCACCAGACCAACAAATGGACAGTTGTGGTCAGTAACATTCAAACGGTCAAAAAATGAGGAAGCAGAATCAGCCAGGTGACAGCAGAAAGTTGGTCAAATTGTTCCATACGTAAAAATATCCTGCAACAGCAATCACCAGTACCAAAATGCTACACTTGTGGTTCTTATAATTTGAAATATATATATAGTAAAAGCTGCAATTAAGGTAACACGATATTGGAATATATTATTCCTGATAAAACAATTATTTAAGATACAATTTCTTCAGCCATTGCATCAAAATTCTTTGAAGTTGTATCACTGTTGGAGTACATTAATTATTTTCTGGTGTTTGAACTTTGAATTGTTTTGAAGAAAAGTTAGAGAAAGTTCCACTTTGAAGCTGAACAACATCAGTAGTCTTGTTATTATAAAATAATTTTGACTGTTCCAAAATCATGAAATCAATCTTGACATGCTTAAAGTCTTGTTGTTTTTTTATCATTGCGTATAGCGATACGTATCGTATCGTGACCAGAATATCGAGATACGTATCATATCGTGACCTTCCTGTATCGTTGCAGCCCTAACAAGTACGGTTCATCAAACGTTTCAGATATTATGGCCATTGGATCCACATTTGTACCGTTCCATTGGAAAAAGGCCAAGGTGATGGACATCATTGACCACCTCGGTGAAAGACACAAACATGGATCACTACTTGGATTTCAACGTGCAGATTTCGGTCGACTGGAGCTTTGGAACGCATGTGCACCATCAACTGGGCATCAACATATACCTTGCAAATTTTTTAATGTTTGTAATCAAGTTGTTTAAGTGATTTGATGCACTTTGTGGGGGTAAGACCTGTTGTATTACAACATAGATCTTGAATATCAATTACGACATCTTGACTGGGCATCACCATTTTGTTTGAAGCCACTGCAAGTGATATATATGAAAGGTCAACCTGGAGCGATATAGAAGGGACATAACTCGTAACAGCCACTGGTGGTGCTACGGTCGAGCCTGGAAATTCCTTCCTAGTTCAGCAAGGGTTGAAACTGGACTTTAATAGTCAGTTTACTCCCTTGCCTCAGGAAGATGACTTTTAGCAATATTCCAGCAATAACACGGAGACACCAGAAATCAGCTTATACAATGTACACATGTGGGGAATCAAACCTGAGGCTTTCGGTGTAACAAGCGAACACTTTAACCACAAGGCCACCCCACTGCCTGCTCGTGCATATATCAATGTATGGAGGAGTCATACCACTGGTTTGAGCATATCCATCTGTTTTGAGTAAAATGTAAAGCTAGCCTTGGTGGTTACGCTACATGAAATTGATTTAACCATCAATACCCATCTATACATCACGCACTGGTTATCTAGAAAGGGATTGCTGTTATGTTTTTTTATGTTTACATCACTGATTCACTGATTTTACAGCATCAATCTCAGAAATGTTTAACACCTTTGTGGAATGTCACCAATTAAGAGAAACTCAACATCATAATAGTCTGAAAATACAGGCATCCATCCAAAACTCACAAAAAGCATTTTATTATTGAGCCAGGGAAGACACAAGAAACTTTTTACCAAAAATCTTTAAACATCAAGCAGAAATCAATCAGAAGCTGTGTCATATAAAAGTTATTCAATAAGGCATAAACTTTCCAAAAATTTCTTTCCAAACAATGCCATACTGCATGCTTTTGTTTGTTTATTCTGCGAGTTTGCCAATGTGATCACCATGGAAACAAATAACAATGTTATCTTCCACAAACATTCCTTTATTGATGGTCATACCTCAACCAATATCAATACAACTGCATCCTTGTCTCTCAGGCCCTGCACGAACATGCCATTAACCCATGATTTACACTCAGGAATGACAGACATCATTTATTAACATCTCACAGGTCTGATAAGGAAAAGTTGTGTAACATTGCCAGTGGAATGATTGGCAGTGATTATTCTCGAAAACATACATATCCTGTTTCATTTATTGGAGGCAAAAACAAATTGACAAAAAACATAGTGCCAATATTAGACCATTATTTAGTGCTAATATTAGACCAATAATAGATAATGGTGCCAATGTTAGACCATGGCACCTGAATATTAGATCACAGAATGAGATCATAGTGCCAATAGTAGGCCATGGTGCCAGTATGAGATCATAGTGCCAATAGCAGGCCATGGTGCCAATATGATATCATAGTGCCAGTATGAGATCAAAGTGCCAATATTAGACCTTTGGGCCAGTATGAGATCATAGTGCCAGTAGCAGGCCATGGTGCCAATATGAGATCATAGTGCCAATATTAGACCTTGGTGCCAGTATTAGATCATAGTGCCAATATTAGA